GTCAGGTCATATGAGCATAAATGGTAAAATAAACACAGAGCACATCACAAATAACTACCACCCCCTGGAATCCTACATGAGAGAGAAAATCAACAGGGAGCGAGAATCAAGTGAAATAAACGAAGAAGGGTGGGACAATACTCGCCTCCGTGTCTTTCACAAAATCATGACTTTTCATCATGAAATAGCAAAATCATATAATTTTATGTCAAGACACGGAGGCTCGTATTGCTAGTTTAAAGCTGATCAATAACAGAAGAAAAAACGTGAGGGGTTGGTCGAAAATAAAATTTGTGAAAAGTGGACTCTTGGGACCAGTCCGCCATCCTCATCAAGTCTTCCAGACGCATGAGTGTGGAGTGATTTGAGTGCGAGGAAACGGTCACATCAAAAGAACCCAGTGGAGTGCTATATAGAAATATCTTACCCTTAAAATGAGGGATACAAATATTGGTATAACAGATATCTGTAGAAAGAGATAAATGGGGACAATATGGAGTAGTATGTCTAAATCTTAAAAATGGTGGAGAAAACCAAATGCAACACACTCACATGGCTGAGAGCCTGGGGAGGATAGACTCAAGTCACTGAAAGGTAAATTTGCTACTCTGGTGACTCGGTCCCTCTGGTCACTATTCTCCAACCCTCGATTGTCAGCTGAATATTCAGGGAAGATTTTTATGGAAGCGTATTAACCAGACACACACTCTTTGCTTTCCATAATCTTCAAGTGTATTATAAAAAGGATGGCATATTTATACAGTATTGATCATGAACTTTGACATACATTGGTCAAAATATGCTTACAAAAGATAAACGTTGCTAAAAGCGGAAATAGCTGATTTTTGCAGAAGACCACATTTCTTGTGGTCAAGCATGTCTTATTTTCCATGATACTTTTCTCGGAAGCATCAGGTCAACGTTACTTTGCGGATGCGTCTGTTGATTCAAAAGCAGAAGTGATAAATCAAAAATAACCTGTGGTTTGTCTAGTTTTTAGCTCTTGTGTAAATCTTAAGAAAGAGAATATAATATCAGAAATTATAGATGAGAATCATTAACCCCTTCCCTTCATTCCCCTCTTTGAGCAAGACCTTGCTCATACCCCATTTAAGGAGTCTTGGTCAGACAACCAGCCATCTGCCATGGTATATTCAGGATTGCTAGTCAATCCTGCAGGTCTTTCATTATGTCTTTGGCCACTATTCCCATAGCATAGGACTAGTCATCTGACCAGTACCACAAACTTATAGATCTGTATCAGCATGTTCACCATTGCTTCGGTTATGTGTATACATTTGGAGATACTCATCATAGCAAGCTGGGGATTTTACAGGAACAGTGTTGCATGTATGTTTGTAAATGCAGAATACAATAGTCTTAAAAATAGCATAAACAAGTAGAGCAAGGACCAGAACCATAACAATAATTATTGCAAATAGCTGACATGTTAACCAATTTTAAACAGACTAACCAACGTGCCATCTGTATCATAAGCCCTAGGTAAATATGGGCAAAGTATATTATTCCCAATAGTTGTTTTCCTCCTTCATCCACGCAAGTGGGCGCATATAGTCAAAGTGGGAATAATACCTATCCCTAGGATTACCAGTCCACCCGATGATCTTTGGCCAGGCAAAAACCCAGTGGCAAAAACTCATATTTGAGGAAAAAGAACATTTAGGGAAAACCTGAGTGGGGGCCGCGATCGTGTTAGACATGTCATCCCCTCACAGTTGACACCACTTATGACTTATAATACCCGCACCTGTGAGTACATAGCTTGGGTATTGGGAGGAATTGGGAAACACTTCTTACATATTAATTCATGAGATAAATTATAATCTAGCTTGAAATTC